GACAACAATTAGCTCATGTGGCAGCAAACTCTCAAAAGCCCCCACCCACCTAAACCAGTCAACAGATGCACTCCAAACAGTTTTATCATCTTCGATTACCACAAAATTTACCTCACCTCTTAAAAATATGAGCATAATAACAACAAATTGCTGAGAGACCACAAGGCAATATTCGAAGACATAGCCAAAACACTTGCTCCCAATTGCAAAATAATGAGCAGGAAGTACTGTGCTGCTGTGGGTAACAGAAAAATTCAGTGCAGCTCTCTGTGCATGCCTCTTGGAAGTTCCTGCCAAACATATCTCCAAGACCACAGCTATTACCTCTGTTCAGTGGCATGCAATTTATATGGCGCTCCCTGGGGAAATTAACTTTGTGGTGACAACTCACAAGATCAACAATTCTAAGAGGAATTCAGGCCATTCCTCTGCAGAAAGGAATAGTATAATTACAGGCCGTGAACTTGAGCGCAGCTCCTCTCCAGCAGAGGATTTTTTCTCTCTCTGGACTATTTTATATCATTTTGTTTATAGGAGTGCTTTTTTCTTCATAAAAAACGATTTTGAACATTTTGATTTACATGCCAGAACAAAGAATTTGATCTTAGAACTATTAATATTTTCAAAGTTTCCTAACGCAAAATGTTTCCAAGTGTTTTAAAGAGTTGTAAAATATCCATTGTCTACTTTTCGTTCACATTCCCTGTCCTGATGATGCTGAGCTGGGGTTTTGGCATCACTAGGGAGAACACTGCACACACCATTATGAGATTGAGGCAACGATTATGCCCAGTCGGTGCCGAGAGCCAAATGCATACCAATGGGCTGTGGAAATGTACTGATATGCAGAGGGGGGTCAGCCAGACGATGAGCAGTGAGCAATCTCGTCTGCCAATGTTTTGGCTGCATAATGAAAAGAAGCTCAAGCACAAAAAGCTTCTAATCCACGGAGCTGTTACTGTTACACTGACAGGAAATCAAAATGCATCCACAAATCCTCAACTGTAACTTGCAACATTTCAAATAAATGATGGATACACTTGTGTGATTGGTTTAGATATTGTGTCTATCTCATCTCACGCATATTTATAATCACATTACTCCACTACCTGATATAAATCAATCATGACAAAAGCTAATCCCAGGGCGGAATTCACCTGCTACTATAGCCCAGAGGCAAAATTTAACTTTGGGCTCCTTTTAATACCCCCCACCCAGCCTTCGCTCCCCACATGCATCAATGAGCCTTGGACCATGACCCTGTCTCCGGTTCACCTCTTTTCCTTCTTTGGAGCACCTTTGATAGGTACTGACCACTGTAGACCAGGAACGCCCTTGTCAAAGTGGCTCAAATCCTCATGCTGCCCATTTCTCCTGCTGCTGACACATCAACTTTGAGGACAAAATATTCACTTGCTGCCTAATATATCCCACTGACTGACAGGTGCCATGATAACCAGATAGTCAGTGTTATTCACTTCACCTGTCAGTGGTCAGAATGTTTGTGGCTGATCGGTGTATGCTATTCGATAGCCAATAGTCATACTGCTTTAAATAGAAAATCTGAGTGTTTCCCATCTTTGCTGAGCAAGAGTTTTGTGCAAAATGAATTAAAGGCCTGTCCCATATAGAGGCCTGTGAGAGTTCAGGTTGAGTTCAGTGATTGAAGCAAATAAAAGCCCAGCTATTAATTGAAGTTTTACATTATTTTCTGCTGCCTGTGGGAGGTCCATTGTTAGAGGGTTAAGAACCAACCTAGTGTGATGTCTGTGATGTCTCAGCATTGCCTAATGAAGATTCTTTGACCAGTATGTGAGTGTCACAGCAATAAACTTACATGTAAATCAAAAAAACACCACAAAATCATATTGAGGCCTAGAAATCTAAAAGTTTTTTATTAATGTTAAATTTCTCAGTGGGTCATTTACATTGGAATTGTCTGAATGTCACAGTTTCACTTTCTCTTTATCACTGAACTAACCCCAGTAACAATGGTCCCATGATAACAGAGTTCAGGTCAAACAAAAAAAGTCTAAGGGTCTTCAGTTCTTCGTACACAGCGGTAGACAAAGTCAACTTTCTACTTGACCACCCATGAACACCAGGGGACAATAAGTTTGTGAAAGGGAAACAGATCAATGATTGATCGCTTCACACTCTGTCAACTCCACCCACCCGCTCACTGAGTGAGCCCCGCTCTTTAACACCCATCAACACACTCAAACCTTGACACAGGCGAAGTATCTCTCTGCATTCTCTGTCATGACCTGTGACGAGTGCCATTCCGAACGCTGTGTTCTTGAGGCGGACGCCCATTTAGAGGCACCCTACTGCTTTGATATCTTACTTTGTTAAAGTGTACTGACAGTAAATAGATTTGGTCGATCCATATTTCATTTCCTGTGTGCTCTCCAGGGAGCCGTTGCCTGTCCTTGTCAAGCAGCCAGCATCCTCAGTCCCAGAGAAAGCGCTGCCAGCCTCCAGAGGTCTCACAAACACATCCTCCCTCCACTTGACAGCATCATTGCCAACGGCCAAAAAGGAATCCAGCATAGCTTGATTGAAAACATCAATCATTTTTGTTGCCTTGTGTTGCCTTGAGTTGGGCGCTGAGGAGAAACAGTGTTATCAATATAATCAAAAATCTTAAATCATGTTAATGGTTGCTGGATGGCAGCTTGACTTTTAATACAAGGCTAACTTCAGAAGTTTTTCGAGTTTGGATGCATTGTCTCAGGATTACAATTAAAATGCAATACATATAGTTAAACCATGGATTACTACATTGATAGAAACTTTGGCAATAACACTTTCTATCAGTTTTGACAACACTGTACCCATCAAATTAATCTCTGATATTTGAGAACTTGGCAACAAAGTCCAGTGGGGCAAGAAACAGACATATTATCTCAACTATTTTTATTTAAATGCAAAACGAAGTACAGTAGATCAAAATTGAAGCAGGAACCTGTAAACTGGGATGAGTGTTTAAAACAGATTAAATAATAATTATACATTCTGCCTTAATTTGTATGTTAAAAACCTGCCTCATCTGCTTGTGATTCTTGTCCAATCTGACTTCTTCTTAGCCATGTAGTTGTACTTCCAGTTCAGTTGGTAAAAATCTTGTTGTTGCAAAATATACATTGTATTCTTTAATGGTAACATCATATGTCTTATATTAGAAACATTAAAGTTATTAATCAGTTTGCCCCTGTTTGGTTAAGTCTCCAGTCAGTGCTCTTGACCATTAGACTGACTCAGATTTAGAGTTGGTTAGCATTGTGGCTGGCCACTGCTCCTAGTACTTGGGATGGGTCAAATGCAGAGAATGAATTTTCACACAGGGATCAATAAAGGATAACTTTTTTGGCCACTTGGGGACAGAAGCCAAGCTGGCATTTTATGGCCTTGTTAAATTGAAATTTCTAACTTATGAAATTATTGCCAGTTTATATATTCCACAGACAGTGAGCACTAGCACTTATTTCTGGTGACCAAATGTAAGATAGCTCTGGTTTGGTCTCCACCAACTCCTGAGGGAAATATATGTGGCTCTTTAGCGCATAAATGCTCAATTAGGGTCACCAGCTAGTTTTAAACTTAATCTGTCTGCTGTTTGGTGCTGAGCAGGTAGTTTACAGCAGGCTAATAGAGGTTTGAAAACAGCTGCCAGCTGCTGAGTTAACATGCTATATTTTAATTAAAGGTGCTTTAAGTGAAATTGCCATTTTGGCTAATATCCTGTACATTCTTGCAGTTAGCAAACCCCTCGCTTAACCACACTGAAACTCAGTCTAGAACACATTTTCTGCCCCACTAGTGGTAAAATTCAAATACCAAAGTTGTGTGTCCACTTTTCATCCCTCCAACAATTTCTGTTTGGGGATGAGCATTTGGCTCACAGGTACTACCACTGCGAGTGTGTTCTTGTAATATGATCAAATTGGCATTAAAGGAACTGCACTAAGCTGGTTTAAGTCATATTTATCAGATCGCTTGCAGTTTGTACATGTTAACGATGAATCTTCAATAAATACTACAGTAAGTCATGGAGTTCCACAAGGTTCTGTACTTGGACCAATACTATTTACTTTATATATGCTCCCTTTAGGCAACATTATTAGGAATCACTCCATTAACTTTCACTGTTATGCAGATGATACGCAGTTATATCTATCAATCAAACCCAATGAAATTAATCAATTATCTAAATTACAAACATGTCTTACGGACATAAAATCCTGGATGACCTGCAATTTTCTGATGTTAAACTCAGAAAAAAACGAAATTCTTGTTCTTAGCCCCAAAAACCTTAGAGACTCATTGTCTAAAGATATAGTCACTCTAGATGGCATTAACTTGGCCTCTAGCACCACTGTCAGGAATCTTGGAGTTATCTTTGATCAGTCAATTAACTCCCACATAAAGCAGACCTCTAGGACCACCTTCTTTCATTTACCTAATATTAGAAAAATTAGACACATCCTATCACAGACAGATGCAGAAAAACTAATCCATGCATTTGTTACTTCAAGGCTGGATTACTGCAACTCTTTATTATCAGGTTGCCCCAATAAGTCCATTAAAACGCTCCAATTAATTCAGAACGCTGCAGCACGAGTACTGACAGGAACTAGAAAAAGAGATCACATCTCTCCTGTACTAGCTTCTCTGCATTGGCTCCCTGTAAAATGTAGAATTGAATTTAAAATCCTCCTCCTCACCTATAAAGCTCTTCATGGTCAGGCCCCTTCCTATCTTAAAGAGCTCATAGTACCCTATTACCTCACTAGAACACTACGTTCTCTGAATGCTGGGCTACTTGTGGTTCCTATAATCTCTAAAAGTAGAACAGGAACCAGAGCCTTCAGTTACCAAGCTCCTCTCCTGTGGAACCAGCTTCCAGTTGTGGTTCGGGAGGCAGACACCCTCACCACATTTAAGAGTAGGCTTAAGACATTCCTCTTTGATAAAGTTTATAGTTAGGGCTGGATCAGGTGAGTCCTGAACCATCCCTTAGTTATGCTGCTATAGGCCTAGACTATCGGGGGATTTCCCATGGTGCACTGAGCTCCTCCCTTCCTCTCTCTTTCTGCACTCATTCATGTCCCATTAATGCATGTTACTAACTCCACTTCTTCCCCGGAGTTCTTGTGCTTTCTCGTCTCGCAGGTTCTCATGGATCCTGGTGGAGCCTCCTGCCATGGTCCTGCTTGACTGCCATTGCCAATACTGTTGTTGCTGTGCACCTGTCTGTCTGTCTGTCTCTCGCTCTCTCTCTCTCTGCCTCTCTCTCTCGCTCTCTCTCTCTCTGCCTCTCTCTCTCTGCCTCTCTCTCTCTCTCTCTCTCTCTCTCTCTCTCTCTCTCTCTCTCTCACCCCAACTGGTCGAGACAGACGACCACCCACCTAGAGCCGAAGGATCTGTCCTAGGTTTCTGCCTTTTAACAGGCAGTTTTTCCTTGCCCTTGTCGCCAAGTGCTTGCTCATGGTGGTACTGTTGGGTCTCTGTAATTAATGTTAAAGAGTTCGGTCTAGACCTGCTCTATTTGAAAAGTGTCCTGAGATAACTTCTGTTATGATTTGGCGCTATACAAATAAAATTGAATTGAATTGAATTGAATTTGTCTATCTGAATATATACCAAAGAGACAAGTTCTTATGAAAATATGGTTCATAAGGCTTAATAAAAGTATACAATGATTTCTTTGCATATTTTCACTGTCAAGCAGAAACGTCACGGAAGAAAACCTGTGTTTTTACAATATTGGTATTTTCGGTTTTAATACTTTCCCTTGGTTGAATAAAAAAATCATAGTTTTTGTACTTTTATTAAGTCTTTTGAACAATATTTTCATACTCACCATTTTGAGCTGATGTAACTTGATCCTAGATACTACATACTTGGTTGAAAACATGGTTAAAACCCTATCCACCCTATGGACATAATATATATATTTAACATTCCCTCCTCTCGCATTGGGTCTTAATGCAAACATCGACCACCGCTCTGACGCCAAGAAGCTGTCAAACTATCTCACAACACTGCCTCTCGTCCTGCCCGGAGATCCACTCCAATGTACCCAGCATTCTGTGCAGGTCAGAGATCGTTTAATTTATTCAGCTCAGCTATATGCAGTCCTGCAGCTAACAGACGGCAGTGTTGTGTCACCACTTTGCAGAGAAGTGTAGAGAGCAGTTCTAGAAGGAGTCACCGGCAGCTCCATTTATCCCTTGTGTGGCGTTTGGGGTCTGTGGGACTTGTTTACTGTGAGTCATTAAATGTTTTTTCAACCTACACATTTACATTAGATATAGGGTGGGCACTGACATCCTGCATTTTCCTGCACTCTGTACCCTCTGTAGCGTGTCAAACTTCAGAAACTGTATGTTATTTCACGTTCTAAACATTCAATATTTTGTCACACTCTATCCCAAATTGGGTAAGGAATACAGCAGATCAATATCTCTGTATATGTGGCTGAATGTCAGAATCGATCAGTATGGCAAAGAGAATCTCTGCTCAGAGGGACTTTAAATCACTTTCAAAGGGAGAGAAGCTAGTGTAGAGGCAGCCTGGGGTTGTCTTGTAAATGTGGCAAAAAGCAGAAATGTATCATCCACAGGGATGGGACAATTTGTGACTAGGAGTGACTGGATTAAAATAGACAATTTAGACAAGCTGGTTACTGGCTACAGCTGCAAAAGAAGAACCTTATACTAGCTACTTGTGATATTCTTCAGTCTCTTTCACATTCGAGCGTACAACTTTTGTCATATGGATGGCTTTGAACCCAGAGTGGAACAAAAGGAAGCTCCACAGGAGACAATACTTTCTTGAGGAACTTGGAAAGGCATAGGTAAGACATGTGCTTGACACTAGCTTGGTCTGCTGTAATTTTCAAAACTTACTTTCCTCATTCTAAGTTGCAGCCAGTAGCAACAAGAAGCTCTGTGATGTCTGTGGATCCAAGAAGGACAGGAAGACACAGCACATATGCATCAAGTGCAAGAAATGCATCTGCAGCACTCTCTCAGTAAGACTGTCCATCATGTGGTGAATAGACCAGCACAAGTTTGTGTTCAATAATACAATACTGCATGTAAAATCTATCTTTCTTTGTTCAGTTCTGCAATAGACATCATTATTGATGAAAGCCTTGCTTGGTTTGTTTGTTCAAGATAAACATGATTTATTCTACCATGCCCTGATTATAATTGATTTTTTTAACACTGTATCACAAAAATGTCAGGATGACATGCAAGGTCCCCAGCTGGATTCAAACTAGGGATGTTGCAATTACATAGTGTTTAAAACCTTGGGAAACCAAGACATCCAGTTGACTTTCATGAGTGGTCTTTAATCTGTGGCAATGGTTCCAACACAAAAACACATTAACTTAAGTAAGCTTTCTGCAGCAATGTGATTGAAATGAAACATCACGTAAAACCTGGTTTCAGTAATTGAGTTTAGGGATTAGAGAAATAAAATTTCAATTTAATTTCCCCAGAAGAAAGACAATTTCTTAGTCATGTATATCTAGGTTTCATTTCATTGAAGAAGTATGACTGACAGCAGTGTGGTGGGACCAAAGGAACGATTATCACATGTAACACTACATCCTTGTATTCCTAATAATTTAATTCAAAATCGAACCTAAACCTAGTGTGCATGTTAACATACAAACTCCTCTGTGTTCTTTAGTCTGTCTCCAGCAGTGGAGAACAGCCTCTCTGCAGCAATGCTACCAGTGAAAGCCATCATTATCCAAAACTTAAGGCCCTGAAACAGAGCTATTTTCTTTACCTGACCAGAGCTGGCTGAAAGATTTGTAAAGTGTTCAGTCTGCGTTGGTTGGTTGGCTCATATTGGTCTCTGGCTAAGGCCACATGAAGATTTAATACAATTATTCGTCTTCATCATCTCTCAAAGTTATTAATTATTCATTTATTTGATCCAGAATGTGCCCAAACAAAAGCCTTCTGTAAGGAAGAACTACAACATAAGTCTAGTGTTTGTTTGTTGTGTGTGTGTGTGTGTGTGTGTGCGCCATTGTCCAGGTGATGCAATGTGCTCTCGCAGTTCTGCATTTCTGTTATGTCAACAAATCAGAATTGTAAAAGATGAAAATTGGAATTCTTACATTAATCTGTATTTTTACTTTGCACTTTTCATACAAGAAGAATATATCACTAAGTGCTTCACACATTAAAACACCTGACCACCCCCACAGACCCATATGTACCAACTAGCACACACACATCTCATCATCATCTCATCATCTCATCAATTTGCAGTGAGGAAACACTGGAGACAGAATTAGGAAAACTAAAAATAAGAAAAGGATATATCAAATAAGAAAACTGAGTGAAATGTATAAATGAATTAACAAAGTAAACAAATTAATGTATAAATAGACCAGATAAAAAAGCACTGAAACAGATAAATAATAATAGATGGATGGATGGATGGATGGATGGATGGATGGATGGATAGATAGATAGATAGATAGATAGATAGATAGATAGATAGATAGATAGATAGATAGATAGATAGATAGATAGATAGATAGAAAGATAATACATAAATAGGGAAAATAAAAATTCTGTTAAATGTATGTATGTATATTAAAAGTATGTCTTTTGCTTTAAAAACAATTGTGTGCAATATGACCAAAATGTTATATCAATATACACAATCAAGCAATTGGTTTGTGTGCTTAGCTTTATTCAAAATGTACGTGTTAATTAGACATGTGTTACAATAGTAGCCAGAAACAGAGAATGGAAAATAGACTTTATTTCACATTGAAAGTGCTGTACTGTGTAACACTACTGTACCAGCTGGCTAGCATAATCAATCAAAAGTTGCATTTAATTTAATCATCATAGACGAGTTATATTAGTAAAACAATAATACATATGAATTCAGTTTTTCATAGGTGTACAAGATTATTTTATGAATGGCCTGACATGTGAACATCTCGGTCCTCTGCACTCTCAGGGAGTCTATGTAAAGTGTATGGGCCAAAAGTTGAAGTTTGCCACTACTGTTGGAGCAGCTGATAGCTGAACAGCTCAAATAAAGGGGAATGCACTGCACTGGGGCAAATACATTCAATAATTAAAATGATACAAAATTAAAAGAATAAAATACCAATCACTAATTTATGATAAAAACAATACTAGTAACAAAATATACGAGACATGATGGAAATGAAATGTTGTGCTTAGAACTTTTTTGCAAATTTTCAACTGGGCATGTAATAAAAGATTAATGTAAAAAAAAAAAAAAAATAGGTAAATTGAAAACACTTTTCAACTATAGTTATGTTCGGAATTGTCTGTGTCACGTTCACTCTCTATGTTTGTTTGTGTTGCCTTGAATATAAAAAATCGGCACTATATAAGCATATAATCAGCAGTTTAAATCTGTCTCTATCTTTTCTTTCTAGGCCACTGAAGAGCTCTGTGTGAGCAACTCCTTACATTATGTGACATGTAACAAGCTGCCACGGGCAGTACAGTCTTGTCATTCTGTTCACTCCGTGAGTGAGGGGGCTGTACCCTACATACACACAACACAGACTATAATGTCAGTCAACACTGTGTTTGTTAAAGATCTGAGCTCACACACTATTAACCTGTATGCTTTATCTTGCTGCAGTCATGCTGTCTGTTATCACCTACTCCAAAATGGATGTGTCAGTTTCATGGTGAAGGATAGCATCATGCAGGGCATATATGTCAAAAATGAATATGTTTGCATATATGAGATAGAGATCAGTCTCTACTGGTCATGTGCTGCTAAAGATTCTGGAATGAGAAGATTTCCTGATCCCTTTTGCTCTGCTATACTGGTAGATAGATACCTAATTTAACACAATTAATAGATCAATAATAAGAAATACCTCTTCTTTATATTTTATTGCAAAAAAGAATTACATTTACAGTATATTATTTCTGTAAATATATGTAAATGGCATACAGGGTTATATTTTGGCAGTGCCTGAATTTGACCAACAAAAAGCGCCAGTACCCTAACTCAGCACAACCCTAACCCTAAACACAACATAACCCTAATCCTCATAGCTAAACATTATTCAAATGCCCTGCCCGCATCGTTGTGGCGCAAGCTTCATCCAAAAGGAAACATATTGCCAAAAAAAGTGTGATTTACAACCCAACAAAATAAACAATAAAGCATGACATAATTGACTTCTTCAACTGTCACATAATATGTGCAATATGACGATAATATATATCGTCATATTGCACAGCCCTAGGTCATCCTGCATCTATTAAACTGTATTATCTAATAAAGGTGGGAATGACAAAAAAAATTGTTGGGGCCATATGGGTGTTATAATGGACACATGTCAATTGCCCATGTGAGCTTTTTGCAGGATTATGGGTATTAGGTGGGGCCTAACTGGACATTTGGCAACCTAAATGGGCTCCATTTGTGGCAGCTGTGCCATGACGACATAAACCCAATCCCAGGGACCCAGAACACTAATGAACTCTAGTCGCTACTGCGATGACCTGGATGTCTACCGTTGTGATGTGTGAACTCTTTGACCATAGACCATTCACTACAAAGAACAACGCAGTCACC